AGGCAAAATATCTTTATGCCGGTTGACTGTTGACCTGAAGGTGTTGGTATTTTGCCACTTAAGCTCTACCAAAACATTGACCTCATCCTGAAGTGTGCCCCCCCCCCCCCCTAACTTTGGTTTCAACAGTATAGGTATCAAGTTTGAACATTTTTCCATATGTTCCTCCTGTCACATGCCCAAGTGGCCTTTTTGCACCCTGCTAACAAACCCCCACCACCACATGTGCGCTGATGCAGAGCTTGGCACTTTGGCAGACACCTAGTTCCCCAGTTACTGCAAACTGTGGAGCAGAAAACAAGCGACTCAAAACAGCCGGGTGATGGGACAGAAAATAAACACAAGGGGCCGGTGATAGCGCCAATCTGCCATCTCTCTCCGATCAGTTTACCAAAAGGCAAACATCAAACACAGCCACTGGCTCCGAATCAGGGTGAGGCAGAGCAGATGATTGTTTTATCGGCTGGAATTCGTAGATATCTTTGGACTAGCTGGAGGAGCTCACCGGGCACAAACAGCTGGCGAGAGCACAGTGTCAGATAAGAGTAGGGCTCGCACACAAGATGAACCACACACACACACACACACACACACACAGCAGGCACGGTTTTATTTAAAGTTGCTTTTAGGGCTTACCGAATGTCATGCAGTCATACTGTTTTTTGCTCACTAGGACAATGTTTTTTTTTTTCTCCTTGGAGTTCTCCAGATGTGAATACATTTTATATAAAAGGTGGAACATCTGAAGTCACGGAGGAAGCTCTCAAATCGCAAATGGAACATCAGCCCAGAGCTAAATAACTGGCTGTGTGGCCTTTTGGAATTGAAGTGATATTACGAACCATTATTTGTGCCTGCACACACAGATATTACCAATGAAATCACAGTACCCATGTTCTCAGATGGAACTCAGGTTTCATACCCTGGTGAACTCACAGGGGGGAACTAGACATAAATACAACTTTGTTGCACAAAAAATTGACTTTATTTCCTGTTAAACTTTAATCAGAGCATTATCTCGGTCTATCCTCCTGACCCATCCCCCCCCAACCCCCCGCCTGGATGCTGAGTTATTTTGCTCAGCATGTCCTGCCATTCTGCCATATCACTCACAGATTGCTATCCAGCAGGTCCCGTCTCACTTTGACGTCTTTTCCAGGCTGTGTTCTCGCAGCTTGTGCGCTTGAACTAAGTGCAGACTGATTGCCATCACGGCTCAGCAGAAAAGGCTCCAGGTAGCGTCCCCATCGCACTCAAATATGTGGGTGGCGCTGATAAGAGCGGTCAGCGGGTTTTCGGTCCGGCTCCCACTTCCCTCTGTACGCCCTCGGTGATCCAGAAAGAACTAAGATCCAGACAGACAAGACACACGCACATGCGCAGGCATCAGATAACACGCTGTGATTGGTCCCAGGCAGGCGGCCTTTCTCAGCTCCCAGCCAGCTCCTAGCCAGCCCTCTTTGTAGTCTCCTATTTTAAAAATGTGCAACCCAGTCGTTGTTATTCAGACATTGCACCTCTGTTTCATGCCACGGAATACATTGTGCGCTCTTTGATTATTGTTTCCTGGGAGGGAGAGTGTGTGTTCCTAGATTAGTCCCACTTTTTTGGCTAATTAAAGGATGTTTTGGGGTTTTCTCTGCATCAACACAGGATCATCAGGCGCTTAATCAGCTCCGTCAATAGAGGAAGCTGCAAGGACACTGAGCCGTGCTGATACTGAGCCCCGGCTGCAGGGCGTCTGCTGGTTAATACTGTGAAAGTATCGCATTGCAACATCGATGCACAGTGTTGGTGAAGCGCACTTGAAACTTAGTGTGATTTATTTTGGCCTGAAAGGTCCCGAAATTGCAACCACATGCTCAAGACAGCACAAACAGATCAGGCGTTATAATTACCGTGTCACGGGCATCGGCACGTTCTAAATCTACCCATGTAGCTTTGTTATACAATTAAGGCCAGCGTGGGATTCGTCGTTTTGGGTTGTGGCTCCAGTCGGCTGTTGATTTAGAGCTTAAAGTTGAAGCTGTATTGTTTCTTTTTTAACATTGCCATTGTTTACACATGCTACCACCACTAATGGTATGCTCTGTGACAGGCCCGGCTTATGCTGCTACAGCTGTCGTCCCCTGTGTGGAGTGTAGTTTCAGTAACGTGATAGGGTGGACAAGCCTCCATCCCTGGCTGCTGTCCCCCCCGTAACTGTAATGGACACTGGACCCCCTAAATCCTTGTGCCAGCCTGATAATCAATCAGGCGTGGCCTCCTGAAGGTAGCCGCAAGAGGGACAACTCAGCGCCACCTGATCCTCGCCAACGCCATTAGAGGCACTCTGATGCCTGGTGTTTCTGCACCTCGTCTCTCCACACCCTGGCTGTGTGACTTAGGCCGCGGCGACGCTTGTCTTCTCAATGGGACGTTTGTCATCCAGTCACAAGCCTGTACGGCCCAGAGATCGGGTCTCGCTCGAACTTGGATCCGAATCAGCCGGACCACATGCCGAGGTTGCCTGGCTCGCACTGGGTTCGGATCTCAGTGGGGTGTGGACAGCATGTGGGCACAATCCTGAATATTTATCAAACATACATATCACATCATCTTCCCCCCCACACTGGAGTTCGTCTCCTGAGGAGAGCAAAGGGAAGAGGGTAGGAAAACCAGGACTGGAGCCCACCTGAGACACGCCGTCTGAGTCCTGTTGAGTTACTGCTAGTGAAAACCCAACACAGATACTTCGTTGAAGTATCAAAGGTGGACACACATATGCGGATTGCGGACACGGCTATGTTCCGGGAATGATCGTGCAACCACGTCCAAGGCCTGTTGCCGGTCCTGCCAGACCTCGTGACGGCATCTCCGCGGGCAGAAGAGATGCACACCAGCTGCTGCTTCCATTGTGCAACCCAAGCTCTTGTCAGAACTGATCAAGCTTGGTATTATCACTGTTTACTCGCTAAAACCTTGAATAACGGCAGATAATGGCCGCAGTGTTCTCTTCCTCACCGTCGGTGCCTCTTGGCACTTCCTCTCCACATCACTCTGTTTATGCCTGTGTTTTCAGGTGACTCACGTCTCCTGGAAATGTTTCTGTCTGAGTTTAACATTCCTCTTCTTTTTCAACTCTCTCCCTCGCTCGCTCCCATTCTTCTTCTGCCTCTCTCTTCCATCTCCCAAAGCCAGGGCCTCAAAGCCAAGCCAGGTATGACTATATCTTGGTTGTTGTTATTCTCAGAGGAGCGATGCACTCGCTTTTTCCAGAGTCTGGACTAAGGGGGAGCAAATATGCAAAAACAATTTAAAAAAAAAAAAAAAGAGAGAGCAGTGAGTCTCTGAGTATCTGATCTATTTGTTTGGATCAACATCCAGTAATTTCTTCCACTTTACTCTCTCAGAGGGACTTTTTAATGATTTACGCAGCACTTTCATGGACCACATCACTAAACACTCGTTTGTGTCGCTCTCCTCCGGGGCGTACATCTGTGGAGGACTGGTAATTAGGCTTTGATGCTTCGTGTCTGTGCTGTCGGTGTCTCTTGTTAAATGGCTGCATGCAGCATCACAGTGACAGGTCTTTGAACGCAGAGCATCTGCCAGGAGATAAAAATCACACTACACTACTACACTTACTGGAAGGAATAGAGAGCAGGAGTCTGGCATGCAAGCGCTGTGTGTGTGTGAGAGAGATACAGAGCAGTATTTTTTCATATCTTGTCTACTGACAAGATCATTTCATAATTTTTTTGAACAATTATTGAGCCAGCTCCATGATCACCTTGTTGATCTAGGGGAAGACTTACTGATGTGTTGATGTTACAGAGCGGAGTCTCTGGTGTGAATAGGAAAGACGCAGGCATACAAAGAACATATTAATCCGACAGAAAATGGTGTACCAACGGCAACAGTCCGGATTTTCATTGGTCAACTCCTGGAATGAGAGATCAACATCAACATCACCATCATCGTCATCACAGATCGCTGGTTCCATTATCAGCTTCAGAGGCTGGATTGATTGAGGAAAGCGCCGGGCCAGTGTTTTTCACGAGCTGTGACTCATTAAGTTACCGTACGGGTGGTTCTATTATGTAATATGAATCCTTGTGGGTGGAATTAGTGATTTGCAGCCTTTCACCGCTAATGGATTAATCTGGGAACACAGAGGGGGGGAAGTTTAAAGACGAGTGTCGGCGCGATCACCGTAGCCTCTGGAGCATCACTCCTCATCAAAGCGGGAGAGAACGATGGAGGATGTTTTAACAACTCTGGCGTCAATGGCAATGTTACCAATTAAGCAGTGCTATTTAAAAAGCTGTGCTTATCTGCAAGGAGGGCAATAGAAATCCAGATCCTTGCCCGGGATAAGTGTAAGTTGAGTGCACGCTCAGGCCATTAACCACCTGACTAGATTTGGTCCAAATGGTGGAAACAAGAAAACAACAGTTTATGTCCCAAAACATCAAGTTTGTTTTCCCCGTCTCGCTACCAGACTGTGAAAATCCATTTTAAATGGCAGGCTGAGTACCAAAAGGCATAGCTGCGTGCTGTGGAGATAGTAACAGGGACCCGCCACTTACTATCCCCCCCCCCCCTAACAAAGACTCCACTGTGTGAAAGTTCAGACCCCGCTGAGGCTTCGTATCGGAGCTAAGCAAGCGCCTTTTAGGGAGAACACAGCATGCCGTCTCTGTGAGTTTATCAGCAAAGGGAGTGCATAAACAACCACAGAGCCCGATAAAGAAGAACAATCTACATCACAGCGCAGCAATTACACCAGGATAGTGACTGTACCGCCTGGTGCTTTCGGTCGTGTTTCAGTGAACACGAGAATATCAAAGCTTTGACGGTTTGCACAGTGCACGCCGTGTGAACTGGGATCACGTGACGCGCTGGGAATTCTCTCTCTCTCTCTGTTTAGGCCTAAATCTCTTCCACGCTTTACATTTTTTTTTACTGGTGTGTTGTGCCTTTTATGTGACTTCAATCCCTTTCTTTTGCCTTACCAGGTTGAGCTGCACCTGAAGCCGATCCAGTCTCTGCTGCGCCACCAGAAGCCGCTGGTCTTAGTGCTGAACTCCCACCAGCCGCTGATCTGGAAGATCAAGACGGAGCACCTGACCCTGGGCGTTAAACGTACCTTTCATGTGAGTCCCCGCATCACTCGAAGCCTTTTAAGCCCTACTTCCTAAAAGTGCGTATTCATTTCCTCACATGCTGAACCGTGCTCCCATGTCAGTAGCCCGCTTCACTGAGAGCTCCGCCCCGATAACGGTGCGCGCACGCACGGTCATTGTGGTGAGGCATTGGTCTCTGTATATACTGTGTGTATATATACACACACACACACACACACACACACACACACACACACACACACACACA